TGTCAACTGATGCTGTAACTGGCATCAAGGTGTCTAAGTTGTGAACCAGCCTTAAACGTTTCAGAATTGTCTTCCTGAAAGCTTGTGAGATTGTTTTTCCAAGGTACTAGAGTACCTGGACTACTTTGCAAGATTCAGCCCTGCATTTGTGTAATGAACTTATGAACAGTTCTGCTGACATAAGATATCTGGGAACCTCTCTAAGCCCACAGTTGTGTGTATTATGTGAAAGTATAGTTACTGAACATCCCAAATCTTTTTTTGTGACCATGTTTTATACTTTCTGGGTGTGAATAGGCTGGCAAGTAATACCTCACACTTCTAGTACAAACACCAATATTTAATTTGCACTAACACCAGACTTGGTTTCTTTCTACCTCCTCTGATGTTTGAACAGATTGCCAGCAGGTGTCCCCTGCTGAAGGAAAAAGTAACTGCCTGCCCTTAGTCTTAAGGTCCAGGTCTTAGGTGCCAATGGAGCTCCAAACATGGAGAAGTCGTCACAAAAACAGCATGAATGCTTTTTAAAAAACGAATACTCTCAGCCAAGATAATCCAAACTACATGCAAAGAGAAGCTGCTTTAAAACCATACAAAGTTTTGCTACTTGTTTGGAATGAATTCTAAATCCAGCCAATTTGCTAATCATGAAGATGCTTCTAAGTAAAGAGATTCCTGACACTACTGACCAAGGCAAATAGGAAATAGGATCAATAAAAGTTTGCTCTGGAGAGCAAAGAAGAAACTACATATGAAAGGGGTGTGTGCCATGGGAGGTAGATTTCGGAAGGGGTAATCAGGATATAGAAAATCTGCACAGGGAGGGTGATCAGATCATGGAAATAAACTGAAGAACATGCTTGCTGAATAAAACAAAATAAGAGGAGTCTGAAATGATAGAGGTGGGGCGATGAATGAGAAATGGTCTGCAAAGGACATGAAGCAAGCAGGACATAGACATATCAGATGAGTTATACGACATTCCAGGAAAAAGATACAGCGGCAAGGAGGAGGAATGAGCGCAGGGCTGATTATGAGGATTAAGATGGGTGGCTGTGTTTGTCTGTAGCAGTAGAAAAGAGTAAGAGTCCAGTAGCACCTTAGACCAACAAAATTTGTGGTAGGTATGAGGATTAAGGAAGACATTAACCATACCCAGACAACCCAAATTCTGACACTGGCCTCCAAAAGGAAATCAATAACTTTGATGGTTTTGCTTCTTTTTGCATTCTGAGTGGGTGAAACACAGTAACTATATTCTGCAAGAGTTACAGTAGAGCAATTGATAGAATTTAAACAGGACTGACAGTGGGCAGCATGGCTATAGGATCTAGGCATGTATAACTGGGAGTCAAGCCAGGATATACAAAATGTGCACTGTTACCAGCAATGTTCCCTCTAAGCTGTGGAGTCTTGTGAGCAAAAATTCTACTTTGTGAGATACTGGCATTAAAGTTGTGAGCGAGCGATTTGGCTACTGCATAAATTAGTTTGCTCTGGAGCCCTCCTTCGTGAGCTAAGACAAAAATCTGTGAGCCGAAGGCTAGAAAACTGTGAGCTAGATCACACTAACTCAGCTTAGAGGGAACACTGGCTACCAGCACAAAGCAGTCACACAAATAACTCCATGAAAAGGGCACAATTCTAGCATTTTGTACTAACACATATCACAATCTATCATTTCTTGCTCAAGTGTTAAATTCTACCACCTTTATAAAGAAAAAACTTACTTTATTTAATTTTGAGCAGCAAGATCTGGCATTAATGTAGTCACATTCCAAATCCGATAATGTAATTATCTGACAATCAAGATAAGGAATTACCAAACCTTGCCTCTTGACAGCCCTACCCACATGACCATTTTACATAAAAACCAGGAACCCACTAAAACTCATGAGTACAATTTTTGCTCTACAGAATTGAGGAGAGGTGAAGTAAATAACAGTATACAGAAGAATCCAAAGGGCTATTACATTATTTGCCTTCCGTCTCAGTGAGAAAGGTAGACTATAAATACACAAAATAAGACTTCCACAAGCAGAAGACCATTTCAGAGGCCTCACTGGTCAGAGCAGGATTTGCTAAAGTTAATGCGGGCATCCAAGCCTCAGAAAGCTCCTAACAGAATCCTGGATACTTCACTGTACAGCATGTCAGCAGTGACTAAAGCTGCTGGGACTAGTCAGAGAAATCACGCTGGCTGCAAGACAGAAGCTTCCAAACGTGAAGTGCCCCTGAGTGCAAGTCCTGACAACCATTATTGCAAAGGCTCCAAGCAGCAACGGTTGAATGAACCGTGAGGACCCCAAGAATGACCAGGATATGCTAAAGCTTACTTGCCAATACTGGGGAGCAATGGCACCAACACAGAAGAATTTTGGATCAAGCCTCAGTTCCACATATCTTCTAATGCCTACTGGTTATACTGAACATTTACAGTGAATAGCAGCTTGAAGCATGAGCATACAAATCTTGTACTAGTGCAACAAATACGTCCACTTAGACTTCACTGCAGCAGTATGAAGACTGTTATCAATACCACCTTTTAATGCAACCAGTAGTTGGAGATCAATACTCATAATACACTCAACTTCAGTGTTATCCCAGAGATATCCATGAGACTGACTTGTATGCTTACCAAACTTTAAAAGATATATAGCCAGCATCATTACTTTACACTTGCATGACTATTTTTTTAAATTATTGGACATATTAGATATGCAATACTCCTATACAGCATTAATAAGCAAAGACTTCCAGACAAGGTGGTGGTGGTGTTTTTAAAGAACACTGTTTTACCCAAGAAGACTTGATAGCAGTAAAATATCTCAAGGCAGACAGAAGCTTATTCTCCTTTTAGAAATATATTAGGCCTCAGCTCTTTACAAAAGCATGACAAAACAAAACCTGACAGGAATCTCAGCAGTAGGTAAACTTGAAATACTTGTCTTTGAAAACACTCCTAAAAGTCCATGTTTGAATGAGTGCCCTTTGTATCCTAATAAATCATAAAACAGCTTCAAGTCACTATACAAACAGTAAAAGGGAGAAACGATGATGGCATAATTAAGGCTGTGACCTTTGGTATGCTTACTTGGAAGTATGGTCCAATCAAATTAAGGTTTCAGTAGGCAGTTCTAATGTCTAATAGTTTACCGCTTTGTGCAGGGCACAGTTTCCTTTCATTCCTCTCCTGCAGCCCCCCCCCCAAAGATCATTCCCGCAGCCTGCACATAGGAACAAAAAATGGAGGGGAGCTGAGGAAGGAAGCCAAGGAGGTAAAACTGCTCCCCCTCCTGTTCCACAAGTGCAGCTCCACTGATAAACTGGCTGCAGCCCACCAACCTACACAGCTGTTCCTCAGCATCATGGATCCCACAACCCCAGGAATAGCACAAACTAATGCTAAAGCAATGCAATCCTATGCAGAGTTACTCCATTCTAATCCTACTCACTGAAATCAATTATCTTAGACTGGAGTAACTGCATAGGGTTGCACTGTTAGTCTAACATAGCACAGCATCCCTTTTTACTACAACAAACAAACAAACAGAAGTCCCACTGGAAATTATAATACACAACTATGCCCAAATACAATTTTGCCACCATTTTTAGGATTGTTGGTTACATTACACGTTATGCAGGAAACACTACAGCGAAGCTCATCTTGGCTTTACCAACACAGTGTCCTGCTTCTTCAGATCAGTGCAGCAGCCATGTAGAACAGCAAACTTTCACACAGTGCTCAACCAGTTACTCTGGAAGGCCAACAATAGGGCACAGAGATCAAGGCCTTCCCCTAATGTTGCATCTTGGCACTGGTATGCAGAGGTTTACTGCCTCTGAATACGGAGATTCCCTCTACTCACCACTGATCCTGTTAAAGCCATCACTACTTCCACTACCAGAAAATCCCCCCGTTTAGTTATTCATTAATTCTTTTTGGCTGTCTTACTTAATGCCCATGGATAAGTAATTTGAGTGCCCCAAATTCTAGTATTATGGGAGAGGGGGAAACCCTTCCTCTATCCATTTTCTCTCTACCCCATGCATAGTTTTATAAAGGTATATCACATTCCCTGCTAGCCACTTTTCCCCCCAGACTGAAAAATCCCAAAATCATAGGAAAGGTATTCCCACCCTTTGGATCCGTTTGGTTGCCCCCTTTTGTACTTTTTCGAGCTCTGCAACATCTTTTTTGAATCTCAACGACTAGAAGCGTACGCTGCAATCCTAACTGAGGCCGGGCAACCATTATATCACACTTGCTCTGAGCCGGGCCACCCCGCAGGGCCCCTGGCCATTTCGCTCCCCCAACATTCCTTCTTTCTCCTCTCTCCCACTTACCCGCCCGCCACCTCAGACCCAGAAGGGGCGTTGCCCGGTTCCCCCCTCTTCCCAGGCCGTCCCGCAAAACAAACTGGAGGATACGAAATAAACGGAAAGGAAAATCAGAGCGCAGCAATCTATGAGCGAAAAAATGAACACCACCGACTCCATCCTTCCTCCGCTATCCTACTCGGCCACCATACACCACCTCGCCTACTCTTCCCTTCACGGCTACCGTACCACTACCGCCTTCCTCTAGTTTTCGGTTCCTGTTTTGAACCCTCGCACACCGTGCCGCAGACAATTTGCACTGCACGCTGGGACTTGTAGTCTTTTTTATTGCGGGCGGTAATCATTCAGTTTAGAGAGAGAGAGATGAAATGTTCGCCCAGGGGAAAAGCAGTTGGTCTTCTCGGGACTATAAAGAGTAAGTTGCGGGGGGTAGTAACGGGAGAGTAAAGCGGTAGGGAGAGAGGACTTCAGAAGATGGCTAAAATCTTGGGATTGGATCGTTCATTAGGTGTCTAAAGAAATGCCTACATGGAAGTGACTAATCCGCGCTCTTTTTCTGCCTTTTCCTTTCCTAGGATAGGGGAAGATCGGAGCTCTCTTCTGAGGAGATTCTGTCTCGATGCTCCGTAGTCTCAACTGCTCGCACGCAGCAAGTTAAGGCGCGCCGAAGATAGCTTTGGTTCTGGCCTCTTCCGTGCAGGAAGGCGGAGCCTCGCTTTTGGCTGAGGGGCGGAATTCGGAGCGTGGGGAGCTGCCATGCGGAATCGGGGAGGAAGCCACCCGGTGGGAGATCCGAGGCTGAAGCAGCGAGTTAAGCAGGTGCCGCCTTCCCCGCTGTCCTCTCAAGACTTCTGAAAGATCCAGTGTGGTCCCCGTCAGGGTCCACTAGCGCTGAGCCCCCCGGGGAGGGGGAGGGGGGGGAGGCGCGTGTCCTAGGGTTTTGCCTTCGGAAGTGTAAAATAGCACGCATGTGGTATGAGATAGGATTTGGTCGTCAAGTGAGCCATTGTAACCTGCAGAACAGCTGCTGTATCTTTGGACTAAGCCTGTGGGTTGAATTTTAAGAGGAAAGAACAGGAGAGTTCCTTTGCCAAGTTAGCGTGGAAATTTATTTATTTAAATCATTTGAACCTTCTTTGTCCTTAGTTGGGGACCTAAAACAACTTACATCGTTCTCGTCTTATCTGTTTTATCTTTACAACAAACCTGTGAGGTAGGTTAGGTTGAGAGTGTGTGATATGCTCAAGAAGCTTCCATGGCATGAGTGGGATTGGAACCTAGGTCTCCCAGACACTGTTAACCACTACACCATACTGGCTCTCTAGTTATGAAATAAATCCCAACTAATTTAACAGGATTTTCTTACCCCTAAATGTGTGCTGGAGTCAGGCACAGGCAATCCAATCCTATGCAGGTTTACTCAGAAGGCTAACAGAGCCATCCGAAGGCCTCTGCCACACGGGGGGAAAGCGCGGGCAAAGTGCGGCTTTTGAAAGCCGCACCAAAAGAGACACGCGGCGGCAGGATCACACATCCCGTGAGCCGCCGCGCAGTTGCTCCCCGGCACGATCAGATGCCGGGGAGAAAGCCACAGAACGGAGCACGAGGCCACCGGCTGCGCATGTGTGCGCATGCGCAGTTTGGCTGGGAGCCTTGATTGCTCCGGAAGACGGGCGCTCGGGCGATCCGATGGCCGCGCTTGCTGCGGCGTCTTCAGTAAGTCCTGCTTTGGAGGATTTTTTTTTCCCCAGCGGATTTTTGGCCTGAAGGGCCAGATCGGGGACGGGTGCGCACTGCTTCCCAGATGTTGCGATGAGATCACGGTCGTTTGCTGTGCCCTCTATCCGTCCCTCTCCCGGCCCAAAACCTTCCGTGTGACCAGGGCCGAAGAAGAGCGATACCTTGAAATCATTGCGTTTAAATAGATTTATAAAGGTGGACCACTGTTTAAGATGGCACTGTAAATCTCATCCCAGCCACAGACTCATTAACTAACTTTAAGCAAGCCCTTATTTTTGGCCTTAATTTCTCATCTGCAATATAGGGATGATAATACTGGCCTCTTATAGGGCTATTGTAAGGGGTTTTTTGATAATGCATATGAATGGCACTGAGCTCTGAAAGCACTACACAAATGCTAAGTATCAAAGAATTACTTATGAAATCATGTACCGCTAAATACATAGGAAGTCTCATAGGCAAATCATATGGCTTAGGATGCACCTAACTGATTTTGACAATGTCATTTTTTTTTTTAAAGTAGGAGTGAATATGAAGGCATGTACATGCATGCATCATTTATATATCAGTTTTTGTTGTTGGGAACCTACTTACAGTACAAAATGCAACATCTGAAATTGGTTTGGATGTCTTGGATTTTGGTGAATGCAGGTATTTAAAGTAAAATAGGCACGTCTTGTACAAAAATCCACAAAGTTGTAGGAGTGTGCATCTTTGCAGTAAAACAGACTTGAGTGTAATTATTCCTGTGTGATATTGCATGAAACAGATCTAACTAAAAAAGGAGACACTTTGCTATTTCGGTACTTACTAAATTACCTTAATGTGCAAAAAAATGCTTCCATAATTACTAAGAGTTGGCATAATATACTGGCAAACTGTGTGAGTTCTGAGTGTAGAAACTCTCAATTAAAAACTTGCTTTAACCTTTAATCTGTAATTCTGGCCTAATTTACAGCAATGTTGTATGGATTACCAAAAAATGAAGCACTTTGAATACTTGAAATAAATGTTAAATTTTACTAGTTGCATCTACAGAGTGACCTACCTGGCTGTTCCTGAGGAATTCATCCACTTCTTTTTTTTTTTAATTGCCCACGTGTGGGCAAACATGCACTTCTTTTTGTATACCTGTTTCAAACACTGGTGCAGGAATCTGCAAGGATAAGGATATTAGTTTATCCTTTGATGAATAACTTTTACATACATATCACTTCTGTAGAAGCTAAACATTTTATAACTAGTGTTTAATGTGTTCATTTTACAGTACTTGAGCAGTAATAAATGTGGCCAGTATGTTGATATTGGAATTTTAGCAGCTGATCTACAGAAAACATACAGGTGAGTAAAGGGTTTAACCCATACATTTCTCTTGGAGACAGACACCATAAATAACAAAAAATAATAAATTCTGACACCATTGTTATATTCAAGGAATTAAGTCCAGTGCAAACCATGAGCATTTTCAGAAGTCATGAGGGAAAAAAGACTCTAATGGTTTAACAAAAACTAATCTGCTTGTCCTAATCTCACAGTGTTGTGTAATGGATAGAACCATACATTATATGATGCTACACAATCACATTTACCAACTTAAAAGAGATACACAGTACAACGTTTGGGACTGAAGTTTAAGAGGAAAGAGCAAGAGAGTGGCAAAGTCTTGACCCGCTTTTTTGCTGAAAATTGACACGTGCACATACCATGCATTTGGCGTACAATAGAAAATTTAAGAATTTTCTACAAAAGAGGTAGAAGCATTTTGAGGCTGGTGATTTTTAATAGGAAAACAGTACAAGAGGAAGGTGTTAAGACACCTTTGATGGACCCCTGTCACTTCCCAGCTCTCAGGAAGATTTTCCCACCAAAATTTTAGTTCCCCTCAGTGACTTGAGTCACCCTCAAGTAGTGTGTATTTCTTCTTTATCTTAAAAGACTAAACTGTCCCACCCTGTTCCAGATATTTTTAGGCTTCTGTCCCAGCGCAAGAACCTGAGGGAAATGCAGGAGTTGTCTTGTTTTTAAACCCTTTTAAAATGGCACTTGAAGCAGAATAACTTTCAAAGCAGAATAAAGATTTTATTTAACAGGCAGGGAGAAGTCAAGGCTTAGAAATTCTGAGGTAAAACTTTATAGTGTGTACAGAACTGAAAACTTAAAACATACAAGAGAGTGTTGTAGCTTTTTTCCAGAGATTTCTAGTTCTTTTCCATGAGAGGTACTTTTCTTAGCATATTTCAGCAATTATACAGAATCTTAATAGAGTTCCCTGGAGAATAGCTCTTTCTTAAAGTTTCTAGATTTTCTCCCCATAGAAAATCTAGTTTCTCCCTTCAGAAAATTGTAGCTTTCCACTAACTCCTAAGGTGTCTAAAGCTTATTTCCTTTACCACAGACCTGGGTTCTCCTTAGAGCACAACCCCTTTTTACTGGCAGGAATTATTCTTTTCCCTAAGAAGCAAGAACCCTTTACTGTTTGGCTTGATTGGGAGTTACAGCCTAACAACCGAGTCACCCTGGCCAAATCTCATTTCCAGTATCTGTTGTCTGTGTAAAGCAGTTGTCTTCTTTTTTGGTTAGCTCAGAATCACAATTCCCCCTCAGAGTAGTTCTAATATTGTTCAGGCAAAGGAGTCTCTTCTCTTTTCTCTGTTAGACGACCCTTTCTGATTAACCCTGTCAGAACAATGACTCCAGTTATCCCTTCCTCTCTCAGAAGACAAAGACCCTTCCCCCCCCCCAGAATAACCAGGCTTCCCAAGTACTTACCGTAATTCGGCGGGGGACGACGACGTCTTTGCAGCATCATTCCCGCGGGGACAACGGACGTGCCGCACCATGTGGCAATGGGGCTAGAAACTCAATGGTACCATTGAGTTTTCAGCCCCATTGCCAGAGCGTCGCCCAGTGTCATTTCCTGGCGACGGCATGGTGCGTTACAAGGAGAAATGTTTTGGCCGGGGAGCATGTGTCCCCCGCCGGATTGAGGTATGTACTTGGCAACCCTAAGAACAACTGAGTTTAAATTAGCTCTCAGCTGATGATGGCCAATCAGAGAGCATGAAGAGCAGCCAATCAAACAAGCTCTCCACTCCAGGGCTGATTAACTCCTGATCTGTCTGTAGTAGCAGCATTTTAAAACCTGCTTTTCTACGCACTCCGTCACAACACCAGTTTCTCCTTTTGGATCTTAGCTGCAGTGACTGCATTGTATAAAATTTAAAAGATAACTAGACTTCACATAATGTGCCCTTGCAACCTCAGAAAATTAAACTCAAGAGTCTGTGACCGAAAGATACTAATAAGGTTCTGGAGCATGAGTAATTTGTATCAGGCACAGAGAGGGCATGAACTAGGGCTGCCAAGTCCCCCCGGGGGGCGGAAATCCCCCCGCCCCAGAGGCCTGTTCCCCGACGCCGGGTAATCGGGCCCCGGGGGAACCCCGCCCCAGCGTGCACGTCACAGGGAAGTGACGTTATGACGCCGGGCACGCTGGGGGCGCGGCCACGGCCATACAAGGGAAAACTCTATGGTTTTCCCTTGTATGGTTGTGGCCCCGCCCCCAGCGTGCCCAGCGTGCCTACGTCACTTCTCAGAGCGGCTTACAAACTCCTTTCCCTTCCCCTCCCCACAACAGACAGTAGGTGGGGCTGAGAGAGCTCTCTCAAGAACTACTCTTTCAAGGACAGCTCTTGTCAGAACTATGGCTTGCCCAAGGTCATCCAGCTGCTGCAGGTGGAGGCATGGGGAATCAAACCCGGTTCTCCCAGATTAGAGTCCACGCCTTTAACCACTAAACCAAAATGGAAATATATGCCAAACTTACTTTCCTATCAGGCCTAAATTTCTTTTACTGATTTAACAACAAAAATTGCATCATTTATAGCTTAGTTAGCATGTAAAATTGTTCTATCTGGCGAATGTATGGATCTTAAAAGTATAAATGTCTTCATTTACTGTAAGAAACATTGCAAGTATGCCAGGACTTGAGAAGGAGTTGCAAACTGCTACATTCTATGCTATTGTAGCACATGTACATTTAATTTTTGCCATCTGAGAGTTAGGGGGGGAAAGTTAAAGGTACAAAAGAAATTCTATAGGAAGCAGAAGAAAGTGTATTGTTCGGACAGAAACACTCTCATATAGTAACAATAGATAGGGCTATCTGCATATTTGGATATTAAGATAAACTTTGTAAAATTGAAAAAAAGCTGAACACTTTAATCATTTGTTGATAAACACATAAATTGTTAGCAATATTATTTGTATCTGAACAAAAATATTCTTGAAAGTATGTTAGTATAAAAAAATTAGAATGATCATTATCTAATGCTGTAGTTTGTCTCTTAGAAAAATTTTCATAGTACACATTTTGAGTAAAGTCTTGTCTGTCATTTCACTTATTTTAAAAAAAAGTTGGGGTTTTTCAGCATTCCCCCAGATTTCCTAGTTTTTCTATAAGGAAAATGAAAAAAATGTGTGTGAAAAACCGCATGGTGTGAAAATGGTGTGAAAAACCGCATTTCACTACTTCTGAAATAGGAGGTTTTTCCACTACTCTTCAGTGGGGGAAACCTTCAGAGAAAAACCAGAAAGTAAGAGTGTGTGTGTGTGTGTGTGTGTGTGTGTGTAGACAGAATGTTCTATTGTTGTTTTTTGCTCTGTGGGCCTTCACGTGTCTAGCCAACTGTGGACTGAATTCTGCTCCATGTATTTATACAAAATATTGTTTGGGGCCTAGTTAAGGAATTGGATTGTTGTGGATTAGGCTAGTTATGATATTGACACGCGTTTTGTACACTAACAATACAGAATGTGCAAAGAAAAGCTTTCAGTCAGACTCTAATTCATACAATTGATTTTCAGTGCAGATTATGGAAGAAGAAAAAGAAATGCTTTTAGAATACAGGTAGAGAAAGGTAAGAATGTTGTATTTTAATGTGAAGGCATTACCCTAAATGCTATCCATAATAATAAAACCTGTGTTCCACACAAATCTGTCATGTTGGCTGTGATTACAGCTAGCTCTGACCCTTAGACTTCATTTCTTTGTGGTTTTGGGCGTAACTGCCACTGAACTTAGTGAAACCAAGTCATAATCAGCAGAGTGGAATTATAGCAAAGTGGCAGAGAACTGAAGCGATATAAGTTTAATGTCGATATTTTTACTCCAGTTTTCTCCCCATTGGGGACCTAAGGTGGCCTGCGACATCATTCTCTGCTCAATTTTATCATAACAAATTATACAGATGGAAACCAGTCACTAGTATATGAGAGACCAAAGGAAATGGGAAGAAATGTGCTAAAGAAATTATAAAGTGTACTCTATATGAAAAAAGTGACAATAATAAAGCAATTTCATCTATGAAGATTTGCTTTATTGTTATTGTCACTTTCATTTTTTTTTCTACAATTATATTTTCTTTAGCGCATTTCTTCCAGTTTCCTTTGGTCTCTCATACTCAGTTTTATCATAACAACAAAACTGTGAGACAGAGTACCCTGACAGAGAATGACTGTCCTAAAGTAATACAGCAAGCCTCCATGGCAGAATGGAGGTTTGAAAATGCTACAAGGGTCAAGCTACAGCAGATAAAATAATATCACGATACATATTTACTTACAATAGTAAAATTAAAAACATACAGCCTGAATATCAGACTGCATTAAGAGTCAGAACAATAACCTGGTATAATATTTCCAATATTTCTGGATGTGTGTGTCATCAACCAGCAATTGAAATTGGAAACTTTATACCAGATTATGACATCAATGAAGATTTATGCATGAGTGCAATTACCATGTGAAGGGATCCATGGCCTGCTTCATAAACTTACATCATATCACACAGTGTATGAGATAACAATACCTGATCAGGATTGATGTATATTATTTTCTGAATGTGTTCTTTAAAAAATATGTATTATTGATCACTGAGGAAGGACCTTGAGGCCAAAACGTGTATGGTCTTGTGTTGGTCATTTGACATGTTCATCAACTTTGTATGGTAAATTATTTCAGTTTATTTAAAAATTGTTCTGACTCTTAATGCAGCCTGATATTCAGGCTGTATGTTTTTAATTTTACTATTGTGTGCACCGTATACTACATATTTATTGTGATATTATTTTATCTGCTGTAGCTTGATCTTGGTAGCATTTCCATTATATTTCGGGCTGAGTTTGTTTCCCCCTTCTCCTTTGTTTGTTTAGTTAGAGTGGCGATTTGAACCTGAGTCCCTCAGATCCTAGTCAAACAATCAAACCAGTATGCTGTGCTGGTGTACCATTTCAGGCTGCTGGTAAGGGAATGCAACAGTATTCTCCAAATCCCTCTATATTAATAATTATTTTTTAAAAAATATGTTTATTGGGTTTTCAAAATAATTTCTGTAACCTACACATTTACGCAAAGACACCATCCATAGTCACCAAAGACCCCATCCATAGGACCTAACCCTTGAAAAAAAAAAAAAAAAAAAACCAAATAAGATTTTAACAGCAATCCAGCAAAGCAAAGAGATTACATTTTTCTTATATCTAGCCCCCAAAACAACTTCAATCCAAGTACAAACAATGACTGCAGATTTTTTTCTACCTATAACTACCTCGTTTGTTAAACAATTATCTTATACATGTTATTTTTTTAATTAGTTTAACAAATTGGCATTCAACATCAACTTTATCCTCTTAAGGCAAGTACTAAAAATTTCTACTTACTCCACTAGCCTTTACATTTCTTGTTTTTAATATACATATAAATTGTAGATTTTTATGCATTTTTAATTTAGCACTATGAACTTTAAGTTAATCATAAATTATACCAATCCTTACAGTGCCATTTCATTCCAGCTAATTCTAAAAACACCCCTATTATAACCATCACCTGTTAATTAGATCCTACACCCATTCAGCATAATAGACTTTAAACTGATCTTAAATTATAACAATATTTTCAGGGTCAATTCATTCCAGCAAAACCTATCGCACAAAGATAAACATTTCATCCCTTCTTAATTTTTCTCCTGTAAATATGCAGTTTAAAACCTACACACACTTAGCACTATACATTTTAAATTAGTCAAAAATTATACCACCTTACAGTCCCATTCCATTCCAGCTGTTCCTAAAACATTCCTATTATAACCAGCACCTATTAACTAAATTTTCAGCATTATAAACTTTAAATTAATCTTAAATCATAACAATCTTTTCTGGGTCATTTCATTCCGATAAGACCTATCACACAGAGAGAAACATTTCATCCCTTCTATATATTTGATTTTTCTCCTGTAGATCTGCAGTTTATACACCCCTATTTATAACCACCACCACCTGTTAACTAAATCTTACACATATTCAGCATTCAAACTTTAAATTGATCTTAAATCATAACAATCTTTTCCGGATCAATTCATTCCAACAAAACATATCGCACAGAGAGAAACATTTCATTCCTTCCATATATCTTAATTTTTCTCCTGTAAATCTGAAGTTTATTTTTTGGTAGGAGCATGTCTATATGTCTTTTTCCTTTGCAGGCATGGCAATTTATCTCCAAATTTCCCTTTTGATCTCTCAATCAATCATGTTCATATATTATACTGTTCTCTTTGTATTTGCACGTATGTAGTTTTTTTCTTTTCTTTCTACAATAATCTTTTCTTTTGAAGGGTATTCTTTGCACCTTCCTTTTTGGTGTCTCTATCTTTAAATAAGTCCTTTTCTTTCCCAAAGTTGGTGGAATTAAAGTTTCAACGCCTGGTTTTTCATCCTGATATTCCGGGTTCTCCACAGCATTCTGAATACATTGTCCTGTCTTTTCTTTTTTTTCTGTTTCCAATTGAGGGTTATGCACTTTTTGTAATAAACATACACATGCCTCCTCGAAACCCTTCTTTATTCCTTCTCTCAGGATTTTCAAAAATTGTTCAACAGAGATCTCTCCCACCAGTGTATTTTCATCAAGTTCTTCCTTTTCCTCCTCTCTTGTTGTGAGCGCCATTTTTTTTTTCTAAATTCAGGTTACTTTGTTTAAATTCTAGTAATCATTCCATTAAATAGTCCTAATTCATCTATGCAATATCTGCTGTCAAGCCTTGCCAGAGTATAAAAAAACAAAGTTTTCCCCGAGCAAAATCAAATAGCAATGACCACATAATTTACTCCCGCTCGCTCTCCGGCCTCTGTTCTTTTCCGTTTTGGAAAGAAAGTTTCCGGGGTCTTTCACTAGCCATTTTCTCGTTATAAAGCTTAGAGTGATATGTACTCACAGTTCTTTTTTAAAGTTGCTTCTTCTGTGGTGCTGTGTTGCTGTATCTTTTAATCCAAAAAAGTGATTTAAAACAGGGGGGGGATTTCCCCCTCCAAACGTGGTTAAAATGGAAGGCTGCAGCTGCATAGAACATGGCATCCATGCTCTATCCTGCAAGCCGCTCGCTCCTGCTTCGGGGCAATAATGGTCAAAAAAAAACCCCCGCGCATTTGCCAGTTGCGGAAGGGGCCAAAAAACCCCTGTTCCAGCCCTCTCTCCGGGAGGACTGGCGGAGCTCTCCCAGCGGCCGGGAGGCTCTAAAAGGAGCGGAAAGGAGTTGGGCGGCTCGAAGTGATCCAAGAAACCGCCTGTCGCCGCGCCGTACCGGAGATGATCTCCCTATATTAATAATTCTTGAGTGGGAAAACTTGCATAGTATGCAAAGGAACCTTTGCAGAATTTTTATTTGAAAAGAGTTTTCCATAGTGGAGCTTTAAAAATGTCTGAATTCAAGTGGCTCCATGTTTTTCTTATAGCCTGATTTAAGTGTTGATTTAAGCAGAAGTAAAACCAAACTAAATCACACATATTCAATTTAAAAATAATGCAAGCAATACCATAGTTTTCTGTGTACGTATTAATTATAATCTATTTTTCTCACTGAGACTCAGAGCGGATTACACAGTGTTAATCGGTACATTCAGTATGGTTAGACATCTAATATGGGCTTTAAAGGTCAATACCATCACCTTGAACTGGGCCCAGAGGTCAATTGGGAGCCAGTGTTGATGGAACAAGACTGGACTGATATAGTCCCTACAACCCACCCCAGCCAGCATTCTCACTGCAGCATTCTGTACCAATCGTAGTTTCTAGATACTCTTCAAAAGTAGCCACACATAGAGCGTATTGTAGTAATCCTATCTAGTTGTTACCAGGGCATGCACCACAGGGGCAAATTTTACCTAGAAAAGGCCACAGCTCACTCACTGACTGATGCTGGTGGAAGGTGCTGCTGGCCTCCACTGCCACCTGCTTTTCCAGCAGGAGGCCCAGGTCCAGCAGCACTCCTGAGCTATGAATCTGCTCCTTCGGGGGGAGTTGGAACCCCATCCAAAACAGGAGACACCTAAGTTCCCAAGTCAGTCCTTCCAGTAGCACCTCTGTCTTGTTAAAATTAACTTGTGACAACCTTGGCATATTTGTTCAATATAACATGTAATTGACCTGTTGAAATAAAACACCCCAAAAAGTCTCGCTTCCCTACATGCAGTTTGAGGTGGTACCACCCATTCTGCTACATGTGTAGAGCAGGCCTTATTTTCAGGTAAACATGAACAAGGTTGTGCTGTTTATTGTGTTTCTGGTTTATGATTTCCTTGGATTTATTTCATTTATGTCCCATCTTCCTACCCAATGGGGACCCAAATCAGCTTACAGCATTCTTCTCCAGTTTACCTTCACACCAATCCTGCGAGGTAGGTCAGGCTGAAAGTGTGTGACTGGCCAAAGGTCACCCAGCAGGTTTCCTTGGCTGAATGGGGATTCAGGCATGAGTCTCCCAGATTCTAGTCCAGTTCTGTAACCACTACAGTTCACTATCATTTAGGAATGTGAAGTTCACGTTGTGTATCTCAAGAGTCTGATAACTATATTCTGATTTTCTGTTACAGTTTTTGGGATAATAAGTAAAGAGCTGAAGTCTGAGGATTTAGAGACTACAGAACATGAACATTTGGCAAAGAAAGCAAGGCACAGGGGAGGCAAAGAGTAAGTTATAATTTATTCCATGAGTTACAACTTTCTGGAAAGCACTGTAGCTTAGCATTATGAGTGAGCAGCCTGCAGATCTGGCCTCTAAATAAACTGAGACTCAAAGCAGGTTCTCCTACTGAACTTGAACTTTAAGTAGGTTCATATGAGGCCGCAAACTGCAAGACTATTTAGGACTTAAGAGATCAGTGTTGGCACTTTGATTTGGGCCCAGAAGCATACTGGTAATTACTGCAATTGTTCACTGCCGGTTGAATGTGACTATTCCATCTTGTGACCATCATTAATTAAGCAGTGCTATTCTTGCCTATTTATCTGTTTATTTATATCCTGCTTTTCTTCCCAATGGGGATCCACAGTGGCTTGCAGTACAAAAATACAGCAGGGGGGGGGGTAACAGAAGACGGGAGAATGCAGAACAGGTCTTCCTTTCTTTGTCTATTTGCTATAGATCATTTTTCTAGTCCTAAGAACTGAAAGCCAAGAATCCATTGTCTTGTGCTCTGGGCACACTGAGGTTTTAAGTACCTGCGAGCAAAGGAGGAACAAATTCAGCCAGATCTTATTCAGTGCTCCCAGCCAACTAGCAGGGTCTTCCCCCTTCATTAGCTGACAGTTACAGCTCCTTTATGGCAGTCTAATCTAAAGCATGCTTGATAGTGGTCTACCAGGTGAGAGAACAACTGATATATTAGCTAAAACTGGTAAAAAGGCACATTCCAGATCCCAGCTGCCATCTGGGAGTCCAGGAGCAGAGTCAGGACCAAAAGGACCCAAACTACAAACTTGCTGTCTCAGGGAGACTACGTAAAGAACAAATGAGCAGCCATGCTGGATCACACCAGTGCCAGTCCAGAGAGGTACCATCAAGAAACCCACAAGCAGGGCCCTCAAGCAGCGGCCCTCACCTGTTGACTTCTCCCTGGCATCTGACATAGGCATTCTACCTCTGAACCTGGAGTTCCCAGTCAACTCTGATGGCTCATAGCCAAAGACTGTCCTTCCCTTCATAAGTATGTCCAGCCTTCTCTTAAACCTATTTAGCCCAGTGTCCATTGCAACAACTCAGTGCTGTGAGTTCCTCATGTCAACTACCTGCTATGTGACATGATGGTGGAAAGTGCCGTCAAGTCACAACTGACTGACAGTGACCCTGTAGGGTTTTAAAGGCAAAAAATGTTCAGAGGTGGTTTGCCATTGCTTGCCTCCATGTCACTGGTATTCCTTGGAGGTCTCCCATCCAGGCCGACCTTGCTTGGCTTCTGAGATCTGACGAGATCGGGCTAGCCTAGTTGTGTGACGTAGGGCTTCCTTTTGTTAGTTCTGCCTTGAACCTGTTGTCATTCACTTTCATAAAGCTGAGTTCTAGTCATATGGGAGGGAGAAAAGTTTCTCTACACCATGAGCTACAGTTTATTCATCCTTCTCCAGTCCATTGCCAAGGCCAGGCAAGACTTTAGGGACGGTCTAATTCCTAGGTTGATGGGGGGGGGGGGATAATGCTGGGGAAGGAGAAAGCAGGGGCACTGTAAATTTTGTTTACAGGGTTTTGATCTAAGGGAAAATATACAAATGATTGTCGTTTTAAAGAATTATGTTGAACTTTTATTTTTGCTAAACTTCCTGTCTTGCTATCCTAAAGAGATTCAGAAAGCTGCATGGATACCTCAGACACTGACACTGAGCACCCAGTAAGTATTGGCACATGATAATTCCAGTAAAATAAATTCAGAGTTGCATATGTATATAGAAATTCCTAATAGTTCTTTTGATGGCAGAGGTATGGATAAAAAGCCTTAAATCAATCGCTGTCCATCTTCTTGGCAAGTGTTCCTCAAATTAAGTCCAAAGAATGGTGCCAGTCTAGATAGAGCATATAATTTTGGTTATACCCTTGTAGATCCTGTCACTTGATACTCTGGAACGATTTTGGCTCTCATCTACCAAGTCAGGACAGGCAGCAAAGTAGGACTAAGAGGCAGGCTTGAGAGTAGGGTTGACCCTATCATAATCTTCCTGCTCCCATCAAGAGGTGCCTCCCTGCCTGTGCCATTTGTGGCAGTTGTGCTGCAGGTTGGCCACCCATGACATCAGTCTCTGCCAGCATTTGATGACATCAGTCTCTGCCAGTTTTATTGTGATTTCTACCAGCTTTATAACTTGTCCCTTGCCTGCTCGCCTTCCTCAGATGACAGCTGCTCCTTGGCAAGCACTCAAATAGTTGAGTGGGTATAGGGATTCAGTCCTCCCTCTCCCATTTAGAAAGGGGCAGCAGTGTTTTGAGCTGGAAGACAGCCATGACAGGGGACAAGGGACATAGCATGGGAAGTAGTGTCAGAGGAGATAAGTGGAGCAATAGCTTTACAGGAGAGCAGCAGAGCAATCTTTTAAATACTTTATCTGTAAGACTGATTTACATCTGCCTCTACCCACGACAATATATTCTCCCCTAAAGGAGTCAGCTGGGCCAGTTTGGTGTAGTGGTTAAGTGCGCGGACTCTAATCTGGGAGAACCGGGTCTGATTCCCCACTCCTCCACTTGCACCTGGCTGGATGACCTCGGGCAAGCCGTAGCTCTGATAAGAGCTGTTCTTGAAAAAGAGCTGTTTCTGTCAAGAGTTCTCTCAGCCCCACCCACCTTACAGGGTGTCTGTTGTGGGGAGGGGAAGGGAAAGCAGTTTGTAAGCCGCTCTGAGACACCTTTGGGTAATGAAGGGCGGGGTATAAATCCAATCTCTTCTTCTTCTTCTTAGATCCACAAACCATCATCTTTTTTTGGGGGGGGGGATATGGCAGAAAAGATGACTGCATGAAAATGTTACAAAAATCAGCAAGAGGTGTTTTATTCTCCAAATCAATTATTAAATGATTCTTTGGAGGAAAGTTGACAGAGAAAATGAAGAGGATTTTAGTGCCAGTTGTCAAGGCAAGGAGATCTCGTAGCCTTAGTTTTAGAAAAGTCATTGATTTTTTAAAAATTACATAGTTGAAACATGTTCTGATTTGCAGCCCCTGTGACTTTCAAGTTATCAAAGCATAAGTACTGTTAAGTATTTTCTGTAGATTTTTCATAATGTATACTCTGGAATACCCTGGAAAATGGTTACAGCTTAATGAGTCATGTTAATGGAAGTGATCAAAGCTGTATCAATGCCTTCTGTTGACTTTTTAAAAATAAATGTATTTTTGCAGTCCTCCAATTACATGAACACTTCTTTATTGACCTTATACCGGAAAGAAAATCAAGATTCCCTTCCTGAAACTGCTATGGATGTGCTAACAAAATCCAGCACTCCTCCTCAAGTAACAGCTGACACCAGAATTTCAGAAGGCGGATGGTTTATCGATAAAACCCCAGCCAGAAAAGAGGATAACTTTTTTATTGATTTATGTGCAGAAGAAGAGAGTGACAGTAGTAAACAGATAGCTGAGGTACCACTTTTATTACTAGTTACTTAACTGTTATTTAGCTAGTTACAGTTGTTTCAGTAGTGCATGTTTGTTCTTATTTTTCTTATTTCATGTTTCTTATCTGATATTTCTTATTAGTCCCATTCCAAAAGCTCAAGGCAAATAACAGTAATTTATAAAATACATATCTAAAATGGACTATATCTTAGCAGTGCAGGGTTGCACTCTTCTTCAGAGTTATGCTGAAATCAGTGGGCTTAGAAGATTGTAACTCTGTTTAGGATTGCATTGGAAAACCAACACAGTATTCTTGGAACTGCCTTTTTTTGGCCTTTAGCGCTAAGACATGAGGTAGTTATCCTGGTCACCAGGTAGGATGTAAGTCCCAGTAACCACAGGATCTGACCGCAGGGGGTTCTCAGGTCACAGTCCAGTTATATAGTCCAAAAGGCAGAGACAAGAGCAATCCAAGGGTCAGGTAACAAGAATGGCTACAAAAGAGGTGCGTCAACTGGTGGGGTACTTAGCAAGACTGCAGACAAGTTGATCCTACACTGGCTGCAGCTTCTCTACAGCCTTGTATAAGGAGTTTCTCTACTGGTGCTGCTGGATCCCATGCTAGGCTCTTCTGAGTCAGCTCGTCTACTCATAAGGAGTATTGGAGCCCAGATCTTTTGATGACGTCAGTCTCTGCCAGCATTTCCTTAGCAGAGGGGAGGCTGTGGATGCCAGCCACACACTCCCGTGCCTGGCCATGCATCAGCCCTAGTCTTGGTCTGCTCTGTCCTGAGGTGCTTTGGGAGACTGGCGAGTCTGATTGTGGGCGGGTTCATGCTGGGGCCTCCAGGCCAGAAGGCCTGCTGGCTTGGAGTGGTATCGGTGCTGGCTCAGGGTCTCTGAGACCCCAGCCTCACAGACAGAGTCTACCAAGGCTGGTCTTGGGATGAGTTGTCCTTCTCTTCCAATGAGGAGTCATCCTCCCATGCCATGCCGGAGTGGCCCATAACAGCAGTCTAGCTAAACTGTCACAGAAATGTAAGATTAACTCCTATACTGGCATAATCTCAGTGATGGAAAGCCAGTCCAAATCAAAAGATGGTTTAAATACTTCAAATGTTTTCCGACTTTTGTTGCAGGATGGAAAAAATCGTTCACCGTTTTTCTAAGGGAACATTAGTCAGTTTTTTGCTTAATATGTGTGCAGTCAGACCTGTTTTTCATTAGTCCTTTAAAAAATGGTTTTCAGAAAGCCCTCTGTCAGCAAGCCAGGCCAACTCACCCTGATAATTCAGGGTCTGACCTAGCAATTGACACCCCCCCCAAGCCCACAAATAGAGAGATCTTTACTTCTAAATTATAGTGACATATTCTTTCTAACAGAAACAGCAGGGGTAATAAGATAATCTTCATTTTCTGTTATTTTAAAAACAAGTACATATAGTTTTCTTTTGCAATTAGTAAGCCGTCAGGGGAACAAGCACCTCTTTTGTAGCTGTAGAATCTATACCTTGTTAGATGCTGGTTTCTGTTAGCCAAACTGCTATATTTCTTTAATAAAAGGTTGGGGAATTATGATATTAATGTGCAGTTGGCATAACTATAGGATCATGACCTTTATATACCAGAGTCCCACTTTATCCAAGTCCCAGAAATAGACGCAGAGACTAGGTCTTTGAAAATCACTAGTTTCTTTTACTAAGGGAATATTCACACACACAAATATAAAATCAAGCAATCAAAACACACAATACAGAACTAGGAAATGAAGGTAGAAGTATCTAGAGACGTTTCCGTTAGCAGGTATTTCGTTAAGGGGTGATACGTATCTGTCCAGACGCAGTGAGTAGAATCTGCAGCGAAAAATAGAAAGACACTAAGGGAAGGGATTCTGTTCTGACCGGTAGAACACATGGAAAGTTCCAAACAGCGCTAGAAAGGAACCTATGAGCCAGGGCAAGTTTTGGGGGAGAAGCAGAGAAAAGAGAGAGCAATGGGGTGGCCTTCTTTCCCTTTAAACCCTAAACTGACTAAAGGCAGATGTTTCCTCTGTCACGTAGTCCTTCAGGAAATACTGGAAAAATCCAGATGGGTCATGAGAATGGGATTAATGGTTGGGCAATAGAAATACTGTTTCTCTAACAGTGACATCTCTCAGAGAGAAAGGTAGACTAAAGGAGAGAATGGATTAGCAGTCTGGCAGCATCGTCGGTAGTTGATTCAACAACCAGATGTTTAAACAGCGGCATCCTCAGGATGGGTGGCTGGCAGACGGACTTGCCTCCTGATCCTATCACGGAAGGAGCTTCTTTTGTTTAGTTTGAGGCTGCATAGGTGCTTCACCTGGGGATGTCAATATGCAAGGGGGGGGAAATGCCTGCATGCTGGAGAAGAGAGCTTTTCATGGCGTCTCAGCAGGGATATTCCTGGTTCTTGTCGCTGAGTATGGCTTTTTTTCTGGAACTGCTGCTGGAACTCTGTGTGAGCAGGATCAGGGAGGCTGACTTGCCGTCTACACGGGTCTGCAGTGTCCTTAGGGATGCAGGGATGGGTGGCATCAGGTGTTCCATGGGTCCATGTCTGGTCTAACATGCTGCTTCAGTGCAAGGTTTCCCTTGGCTGGGCACAGGTCGTCCGTCCAATAAGTTGGCATTGTCTCATGGGCACCGTGTAGTCCATTTCTCCTGGCACACAGTTTGCACAGTCCAGCTATACAGTTTATAAGCCATATAAAGTGTCAGCAGGCTATTATTTAGACAGGCTGCTTCATGGTTTAGCATTAATACATGTAGTGGCTTCCCAGGCCCAAAAGAAGGCATTTCCAAGAATGCTGATTTTAGGGAGTGTGGAGTCTCTGTGCAAGCACTGCTTGGGGAAAGACTACTTGAGCCTTGTGGAGATGTTGAGAAAGATCACTACCTAGTATGACAGTATCACTACATAAGCTGAATTTTATTCTTATTTTATGTGTTGTCTTTTAGGTATTGTAATCTAGTCTGAGTAACATCCTGTAACGGACATTGTGTTTACCACATTGTTGGCACAGGCCCTTTTGTTTCCTGTCAGCCTTGTCTTGGTGGAGAATTTCACTGATCATCCTCCTTGTACAGGGCTAACAATGTGCAATAGGATGTTTTACTTCCCCATCCAGATAAAGAATCTAGACTAAATAGTTCTAACAGGACTTTCCTTATTCAGAACATTTAGTGGCTGTTTTTGCCAGGATTTACTATTGAAGGCTGCTTATTGACCTTTTAATCTGATAATGCAAATGAGTTAGGTATGAGTTTCCTGTCAGCAGTTCCAGAAAACCAGACTGAAAACCTTCAGAGACTTATAATTCTGTTATAATTCTGTTTATTAAGCAAGACATTAGAAAATACAGGCATGGGGAAATTAACCCTATAGTTTGTGTAAAAACGAGTGCTAATATTATCCATAAGGACATAAGAGAAGCCAATGTTGGATTAGGCCAATGGCCCATCCAGTCCAAAACTCTGTCACACAGTGGCCAAAAATACCAGGTGCCATCAGGAGGTCCAGCAGTGGGGCCAGGATACTAGAAGCCCTCCCACTGTTGCCCCAAGCACCAAGAATACAGAGTATTACTTGCCCCAGACTGAGAGCTCCTATCTATACCTTATGGCTAATAGCCACTGATGGACCTCTGCTCCATATGTTTATCCAATTCCCTCTTGAAACCACCCATGCTTGTAGCCGCCACCACCTCCTGTTGCAGTGAATTCCGTGTGTTAATCACTCTTTGGGTGAAGAAATACTTCCTTTTATCCGTTCTAACTCGACTGCTGAGCAATTTCATTGAGTGCCCACGAGTTCTTGTATTGTGAGAAAGGAAGAAAAGTACTTCTTTCTCTACCTGGGGGCAAAGGATGTTCGGTGTGGGGGGGAAGAAGTCCTCCACCTCCTGCATATCACAGACCCCCTTCCCCAGGCACCAAACCCATCCTTCCAGTCCACTGGAGCCTGGTCCTAGCAGGGCATCACCAGGGGTCTTGGAGCCTCCTTCCCATTCCTGGGGCTCTCCACAAAGGCAAAAGAGTTAGAGACCAGCAGTCGCTAACACTCTTTGGAGAGAAGGACGCTGACAGCAGTGATTCAGAGGGTGGGGAGAAGCATCCTCCACTTCCACATCCCAACTCCCTGTTGCTCCCCTCTGTGGCCCCTCCCAGACCAGCATCAGAAAGCAGCTGTGCCACCCACCTTCTCCAAACCTGGGGCCCCATTTCCAGCTGACACTTTGGAAACGTTCCTGCACCCTCTCCACTAGGGGTGTGCAAAAAAATCGGGAGATCCACAAGGTCACATTTGAGTTCTTTCAGAACTCTCGGATATATGCCATCCAGGCCTGGTTGTCTATCAGTTGTAGGACCTCCTCTCTTGTCACCTCAATCTGACTCAGGTCTTTCAGCACCCCTCCTGAAATCAGCAGTTATGGAGTGGGCAAGCACTTCTCATCTTCCACAGTGAAGACAGAGGCAAAAAATGCATTCAGCTTCTCAGGCATTCCCCTATCATCCTTCAGGACTCCTTTTACCCCTTGGTCATCCAAGGGCCCCACTGCCTCCCTGGCTGGTTTCCTGCTTCTAATGTATTTGAAGGAAGTTTTATTGGTCTTTATGTTTTTTGCTATATGCTCCTTATATTCCCTTTCTGCCTGCCTGATGACAGACTTGCATTTTATTTGCCACAGCCTGTGTTCCCTTTAATCAACCTCACTGAGATTAGCTTTCCACCGCATAAAGGAATCTTTCTTACCTTTTACAACTTCCATTACTTTGTTAATCATGCAGGCCTTTTTCTATACCTATTTGTGCCTTTCCTAACCTGTGGTATATTTTTTTCTGAGCTTCTAGGATTGTAGTTTTAAATAGTCTCCAAGTTTCCCCAGTGGTTTGGACACTTTCTACTTTTCCTTTCAGTTTCCTCCGCACTGTCCCCTCATTTCAGAGAAGTTACCCCTTTTAAAGTTAATCACTTTTTGGGCAACATGCTATTTATACAAATGTTGAACTAAATAATGTTATGGTCACTGTTCCCAAGCGGTGCAATCACTTTTACATCTCTCACCAGGTCTTGGGTGTTACTTAGGACCAAATCCAGGATCACCTCCAGTGTTCCCTCTAAGCTGAGTTAGTGTGAGTTAGCTCATAGTTTTTTAGCTTCTGGCTCACACATTTTTGTCTTAGCTCAGGAAGGATGGCTCCAGAGCAAACTCATTTATGCAGTAGCCAAATCACTCGCTCACAACTTTAATGCCAGTAGCTCACAAAGTAGAATTTTTGCTCACAAGACTCCACAGCTTAGAGGGAACATTGGTCACCTCTCCCCTGGTAGGTTCTGTGACCATCTGCTCTGTACCACAGTCACAGTCATTGAGAGTTTCTAGAAACTCAGTCTCATTTTCCTGACTTGAACACATATTGACCCAATCAATGTGTGGGTAATTAAAATCACCTATTCATCATTTTATAATCCTCCCCTATGTTTTGATCTAGTGGGCGATAACAAACTCCCAGTGTTAAGCTTCCTTTTGGGCCCACTATTTCAACCCATAGCATTTCCAGAAGCGAATCCAATTCTCTTACCCTCTCAATTTTACTGGACTGTATACCCTCTCTGACATACAGAGCCACCCCACCTCCAACCCTTCTCCCCCCCCCCCATCCTTCCAATATAATTTATAACCAGGAATCACCATATCCCACTGATTTTCCTCATCCTACCAAGTTTCCGAGTTCCTTTTCTTTATAGGAAGTTACATTTTAAAAGCAAACCAGGTTTCAGGTTATTGTCTCACTGCTTTTAGGGACTACCAAGCTTCTGAGACTTCCATCCAGAGAAATCTGATTTGCTTATCACAGTAGTGCAGTTTTATAGAAAAGTATCAGTCTTATCTTATTCTAAATCTCTTCTATCTTTATAATGTGATCAAGAAATTATCTAGATAAGTGCTTGTTTCTTAACTAAGTATGAGATAATCAGCAAGTGCGTATGAGAATACTTCTGATATGTTTCTGTTATCTTTTATAAATCAAGATAAGAAGACCAAACTTTCAATCTTTATTAAAGAGCAAATAATCTGACTTTTCTGTAGCTGTTTCAATTAATTGTCAAAGATTAAAGTAGCCTTAAGCAGTGGCAAGAAGATTTAAGTAATGATTTTGATGGCACAAAATGAAATTTTATTTTCACCCATGGGCCCACTTTTACAGTTTCTCTTTTAGGGAAAATCTGTGGAAAATGATTCACAGATGTCATTTGACACCCATGAGATTGTCAAAGATCTATAAAGTAGGAGCCAGCGCTGGTTCTGTGAAGAAAGTAACACGAACATTTTCTACATGTGGCGGACATGTATCTGGGCCTCCAGCTACTGGAAACAAATTACAAAATTGGTATCTAGCGTGTTGAGAATTTAAAGCCCGTATTAACCAGAAACACTGCTGCTTAATTATTCATCAGATATCCGTAAAGATCTGCAAATAGTTGCCTTACATATGATCACTGCATATGGTTTTTGCCCAGCAATGGAAACAGAAAAAGACTCCCATGCTACAAGACTGGCTTTTAAAAACAAAAGAGATACACTTTAGTGGAATTAACAGCCTGTCAGAAAAGTAGGGATATACCTGAAGTAGACCAGGTATAGTCAATGGCAAAACAAGCCATAGAATAATGTATAGTCCATAAAAGTATCAGTATACCATGTTAATAAATGTATGTTGTGGTTATAGTAGAGACTATAAGAGGGAAAGGGTTGGTTTTGTGTGTGTGTGTGTGTGTATAATGTAACTTTCTGTATGTTTTTAATAAAATTTTATTTAAAAAATTAAGTAACTTTAAGCAACCAGAGTTCACTGACAGTTGAAGAGTGTCCCACAGGCTTCAGAAAACAAGCAAGAAAGGTTGATGTAAGCAAAATACTGCTACAAGTGCACTTAGAAAAGGTTACTGTAAATTAACTGTTGATGCAGATTCTTTACTTCCTTGCATTTTACACAAGATCATACTTGAGTCTGAAAAAATGAGATGAGCCTAACAGTATTTAATATTTCCAAGAAACACTTTGCCGCTGAGCAGGGAGTTCAAAGAACATGAAAAGCAACCTAAAGTTTTGGCTTAACTTTAAAGTTTACTTTACTTTTCTGGGTATGGTTTACTGCATAAAGTGTGTTGGCAGATCCAGCACATTATTTCATTTGACTTGTCTGCCCTCTAGCATTCAAAAGACCTTTCCTTTGTGAAGATTGAAAGGAAGAAGCCCAAGAGCAAAAGATTTAAAAGGAGTAAAGAAGACTCTCAAGATGTAGATGAAGAAATAGAATCCGCTTTGTGGAATCGGAAAGGTAAGAGCAGTTCTCTGAGAAGACTTCTCTGTACTACAAAGACTTGTCCCTTACATTGCAAAACAGCATTGACAACTCTTGCATCTGTTCTGTAAGTATAATAATATGTTTGGCAGTGTTTTCTATACGTACTAAGACAACGCAGCAGCTGTGCTCTGATTTCTTCTTTTCTGGCAGGTAAACCAAAAGGAATAGAGCTACGGACCTCTTCCATAAAGTTTGAGGACATAGGAGGCAGTGACGAGGCTTTGAAGGTTAGATAGCAACTAAATGCTCTTAATAGGATAAAGATCCTCAAGCATAAAAGTAAACATGAGTTTACCAGCAGAGGCAGGTGCCTATAGGGGTCACCTAAGAGTTGCCACAGGGGAGGGGCAATGGCTCAGTGGTAGAGCACTTGTCACAGATTTAATCCCTGGTCATCGTGGAAAGTGCCATCAAGTTGTAGCAATTTATGGCAACCCTCATGGGTTTTTCAAGGCAAAAGATGTAGCAACCCTAGACTTCCTTGGTGGTCTTCCATCCAAGTACTAACCAGGGCCTACCCTGCTTAGTTTCCAAGACATAACAAGATTGGGCTAGTCCGGTTTGTCTAGGTCCAGTCTAATACCTGATATCTCCAGTTAAAAGGATCAGCTCATGAGAAAGACCTCTACCTAAGTCCCTGGAGAGCTGCTGCCAGTCACAATAGACAATATTGACCTTGACAGGCCAACAGGCTGAATGGTGTAAAGGAGCTTCATGTTAATTAGTATGTTGCTTATGGAATTATTTAGGTATGAGGGTATTTTTAAAGCAATTCTGGATTTCTTTAGCAAGTAGTGTTATATGCTTTGTGCTTAAAAATAAATCTAAAATCTGTGGTGAGAACTTTTAGCTGTGTAGTGTAGTATTAAAGTCATTCTGGAGCTATAGCGCAGTAGAAATGCACAGGCTCAGCAGATAGGTGGTCCTCGATTCTGTCATATTGTGGACTCAGGGTGAGAGAGAGAGATGAGGTCTTTCACATCACCTATTGCTTGGTCCTTTTAACTGGAGATGCTGGGGATTGAACTTGGAACCTTCTGCATGCCAAGCAGATGCTGTACCACTGAGCCACGGTCCCACCCAGTGGTACTACCACTACATTCTACAGAAGCCAATTATGGATGCTGAGGGCCTGCTTCTTGGGATCCATGACCTGATAGTGACATCCATGGTTTCCAAGATTGCAACAGTTCTCCAAACATATATTTGGAGCCATATGGGCAAGAAACCCTTTTTATTTATTTCAAAAAGCTTATAGTCATCTTTCTGAAAAATTGAGGAAGCTGTTTTAAAATGAAAGCTGTATTCAGAATTCAGAGACCAGTGCTTTCCTCACATTTGTGTTGAAGGCACACAGCCTTGTTAATGATATTGGCTAAAGTATGGTTCTACGTAATTTAATTCTCTCTTATTTTCATATACAAATTGTCACTGTTAGAAAGGTTGTTTACCTTTCCCACCCTGTAATTTTCACTGCAGGAAGTATGCAAGATGCTGATACATTTACGTCATCCTGAGGTATACCACCATTTAGGAGCTGTTCCACCTCGAGGATTTCTCTTGCATGGTCCACCAGGATGTGGAAAAACCTTACTGGCACAGGCTATTGCTGGGGTTAGTTTATTGACATGAACTTTGTTTTCGTTACCTTAAATCATATCTTTGTGTTTTGAGAATGATTCCCATCTGGCACTCCAGATATTATAGAATAAATGGCCCAGCAGTTGCTGGATAAGGAGAAGGCCTACATCCAGAATCACTATGTAGTGTACTGTATAATATTTTGAATGCCAGATCTGTTGGAGTTACCATTAGAAGTACTTTAAACATGCAAAGAGATCAGCTTACCTCTAAGTCCCAGACTCTTCTTTTCATTGCTGCCACACACTAAGTCAGTGTTTTCAACATCCAGAATCACTATGTAGTGTACTGTATAATATTTTGAATGCCAGATCTGTTGGAGTTACCATTAGAAGTACTTTAAACATGCAAAGAGCTCTGTTTACCTCTTTATAAACCTCTATCATGTCTTCTTTCTGACCTGAAAAGTCCCAGACTCTTCTTTTCATTGCTGCCACACACTAAGTCAATGTTTTCATTGAGTAACCATATTTGACATTAGGATTTCTTTTCTCCCACTGTGTATCATTTTACACTTTATTGTATTGAATGTAACTTGTCATGTTGTTGACCTCTCATCCCAGTTTAAAGAGATCCTGCTGGAGCACAGTCCACCTTGGTAATCTGCAGACTAGACCACTGTACTGCTTATCCCCATTTTCAAATAATTCATGAACAGATTAATAGTACTAATCCTTGTGGGCCCCCACTGCTGACTTCTTTCCATGGCTAGAAATACCAGGTGCCATCAGGAGGTCCACCAGTGGGGCCAGGACACTAGAAGCCCTCCCACTGTTGTGTCCCCCCCCAGCACCAAGAATACAGAGCATCACTTGCCCCAGACTGAGAGTTCCTATCTATACCTTGTGGCTAATAGCCACTGATGGATCTCTGCTTCATGTACTTATCTAATTCCCTCTTGAAGCTGTCCATGCTTGTAGCCACCGCCACTTCCTGTATTGTGAGAAAGGAAGAAAAGTACTATCCTTTTAGAGTTTTCTGAGAAAGTTAATAAGCAAGAGGATATGGTTGTCCTAGTAGACAATATATTCTTGGACTTCCAAAAGGCTTTTGAGAAGGTACCTCGCCAAGGACTCTGGATTATAGTAGCAGTCATGGGATAAAAGGATAGGTCCTCTTATGGATTACTGGTTAAATGACAGAAAGCAAAGAAGAAGAATTTGACATTTTTGGCCATTGTGTGACAAAGTGTTGGACTAGATGGGCCATTGACCTGATCCAACATTGGCTTCTCTTAAGTTCTTATATTAGTGAAGCAAGACTTCCCTTTGCAGAAGCCATGCTGATTTTTCCTCAGCAGGCTTTGCTCCTCTATGTGCTTAATAGTCCTATCTTTAATAGCAGTTTTGCTGATTTAAATTTAACAGATATTAGGCTAAGTGGTCTGTAATTTCCTGGATCCCCTTTCGGTTTCTGTACAAAAATCGGTATGGGGCTTCAGTTTGACATAGTTTAGGGCCTCAGCGTGTCTTAATCTGGCCCTAATTACAGAGACTTCTATCAACCCATGAATCTCAGTATAGGGTTTTCTTTATAACATCCTAAGTAACATAAATAAAAAAAAATATAATTGTTCTTGCTTTTCTTTTTGCTGTAGGAACTTGAACTACCAATACTCAAAGTAGCAGCAACTGAGATAGTGTCGGGAGTGTCAGGTGAATCAGAACAGAAGTTAAGAGATCTTTTTGATCAAGCTGTGGTAAGTTGAGCAGAAGGAAAGCATTCTGTTATTTCTTCACAGGACTTGAGGAAACTGAGTTAAAACTAATTTGTATGTTGCATTCTTAACTAAAATTTCAGTTCAAGTCCGAGTGAGGGTATGAGAAGAGAAAAGAGTCAGCACATCCCCACCATATCATGATTCCTATTTTTTTATTCCCCCCTCCCCCCCGATTTAGTGCTTGCGATTCTGAGAGTCTCTCGGCGCATCATCCACAATCTTTAAAAATGAAGAGGCCTTTACCTTCTTCTTGGAGTTAAGCCCCTCATGTTACATTTGCAATTCCCCAGTCATCTGATACAGAGGCTGATTTTTAGTGACAATTTACATGTGCTGATTAGTAGATCAGCAGTTTCATATTTGAGTTTCCTTAAGAACCTTTAGGTGTATGCTAACTGTATCTGGAGACTTATTAATTTTCAGATTGCTGAGTACCTGTCATCACTTCCATTTGATTCTGTTCTTCAGATACCTTTCCTGAAAACTTCAGCACCAATAGGTCTGCATGCCCCATATTTTGCACAATGAAAACAAACACAAAGTATTCAGTTTTACCGTTTTCTTCTTGTCTTCCTTAACCAATCTTTTCACACCTTTGTCATCCAGAGGCCGAGATGCTTTCATGGGTGGTTGCCTGTTCCTGATGTATTTGAAGGAATATCTGGTCATTGGGGTAGAATTCACCAGGTTCGTTGTCTAGCCATAGGTCCAAAACAGGCAGACAACCGGGTAACAAGCTTAAAGATTTATTTGCCAGGCAAATGGTGGTTGCAGAAATGAGTCTGCAAAGAGAAATCACATCCCTCCATGGGTGTTCCTTTCAAGTATACTCTTAGGTTACATAGCATTGCTCATGCTCAAAAAACTGTAGCCAGAACTGACAACTCCTGAGTAATTTCCATTCCAGACCCCCACACATTCTAAGAGGCCTTGTGTGCGAATCTGCATCCTTGGTGTACCTGCTGTAGTATCCTGGAGTTGTGTACCCAGAAGTTTTTAGCTGACTTCCCTAGATATGCTTATCTCAATGCTCAGCACAAGCTTCTTCTGCTTTTGTGCTTTTGTCAGCAGGGGCCCACTTGCAAGTTGCAAAGTCATTAAATATGGTGCTGGCTATGCTAAGATACTTTTTTTTTTTTAACTTCATCATATATTCTTTCTTCCTGGGAGGCCATAAGGTCTCAGTCTGGGACTCTTTCATTTGTAGTCCATTCCTGTCTTTTGAACAGTGCTGCCTGGTAGTTTTGGTTCAGTTGCTTTAGAATTTTAAGATTTCAGATAGCTCGTGTTCATATCTTTTGTGACAGTTTTTATACACTGAATATCTGTTCTCCTATTTGTCAGTTCTTATGGTCTCCTCTTTGTGTTGTGATAACTCTTTCCAATTATGTTTGCTGTTCTTGTGATATTTAAAAATGATTTATTTAAAAAGGCAGGATAAAAGCATTTTAAATATAAATTAGTATTACAAAAGTGGAGTTAGGGATGGGCATGAACCAAAGTTCAGCCCAGACTTGGGCCAGTTCGGAGTTCGTGAACCGATGTTCCCCAAACATTTCCCAGACTTGTGACTCATTTGGCTGTTTGGAGTCTACTGGCCAGCTGCCAGCCATTTAAACCTAACAACTGGCCAGTAGACCCTTCAAAGGGGGGGAACGAAGCCAACTGGTTAAATGGCTGCCAGCCATTCAAACCTAACTGTTGGCCAGTGGACCTGGTCAACTGGTTTTGGTCCCCCCCCCTCAAGGGGGGAAGTGAAACTGACCGGTTAAATGGCCACCAGCCATTCAAATCTAACAGCTGGCTGGTAGACCCAGTCAACTGTTAGGTTTAAATGGCAGCAAGTCATTAAACCTCAGTTTCGCTTCCCACCCCTTGGGGGGGTGAAACTGACTGGTTAAATGGATGGCAAGCCTTCCTGGGCATCCCCCCCCTTCTTCCTGGCTGCGGCAAGTGACAGCCAGGAGAAAATTGGAAGGGAAGTCCCTTCCAGGGCAGTCCCCGCCCCCTTCCTCCCAGCAGTGGCTGCCATAGCCAGGGGAAAGGGGGAACCAAACTCACCAGACTGGCTCAGTTCGGGTGGGGCCCTTTTGGGTTGGTTTGGTTCTGGAGCTGCACCAAACCAAACTGTTTTTTTTGGGGGGGGGGGGTTGGTTCATGTCCGTCCCTAGGTGGAGTTCCATTGTAAACTACTAGACCAGATTTCATGAAATTAAGCTTGCTTTGATTTGCCCAAACTTGGTTTGTATTTTATGTTTAATCTAAAGATTTACAGTAGGATTCTAGCACTCCTCACTTCTCTCTTGTCTCCTTGGGTTCACAGTCAGAGTTTTCTAGACTCCTCTGCACTTAAAAATATTGCCCAAAACATGGTTGTATCCATATCCTATAGTATAAAGTTATTTGCTATGAATGATTCATCTTTTTCGCTTACTCAGCTATGGTAGAATCAGTAGTACTGTTCCTGTAGATTCAGCATTTACAAGAGGAATCAGAAGTGCTCTTTTTTTTCCTTTTATACATCTAGGGCTGTGGTGGCTTGGGGATGTGCTGATTTGTGCATTCAGTGAATTATCCCAAGTGGAAGCTATTCCATACTGCAAGGCATTAATACTTTGGCAACTTGATTTGATTCTTTTATGTACTCTTTCACCATTAGGTGATCACTCTTACAAATATATAGACTGGTTTAACATTTGTGCAATTATTATCACAGCTCTTTATTCTCTCTGTGTGGGGGGGAACAATTTCTGTGCTCTTTCATTTGGAATTTACTATGTTTATCTCAATACTTTCCTAATAAAAACAGAACTAAAATGTTGTCAGGATCATGAAACGGAGAAGCATGTTTTAGTATATAAACCCATGCAGTCCGTATCCATTATAACAATAGTAGAAGATGTTATTTTTTGGAGAAATGTTGAATTTGCCCAATATTTTCAAACTTTACATTTTTACCAGTTGAATGTTAAAGTGAAAATCTAAATAGACACTATAAATGTTTGTTCATGG